GTTAGCAGTCCAGTGCTCACTGGTATTCCAACCAACTTTACTTTTCTGTGTATATTTATGTGATTTTAGTGGGACATGAGGAGGTTGGAGCTCTGGTGGTGTAGTGCCTAAGGCATTTGACTGCTAACCAGAAAGCTGGTGGTTCAAACCCACCAGCCACTCCTTGGAAGGAAGATTAGGCAATCTACTTCTGTAGAGGTACCACCTTGGAAACCCAAGGAGGGGTCTTTATTGAAGCAACTCAATGGCAGTGAGTTTGATTTTTTGAGGAGGAGGTATACCCAGTGTGGCTGCCCCACTGCTCTGTTACACAGCAAGTCTCACATGACTTTTAAAGTGTCTACATTTTATCATCATCAGAAGGGAAGATTGGTTATTCAAAGAAACCTGTTTTGGAAAGGAGTAAGATTTCAAGATGTAGGTTTCCTGCATCTTGATTTTTACTGAGGCTTTTCATTTGGTCACTAATCACTCCTTCACTGACCAAATAGGAAAACAAGGTTTATATTTGTAGTTACCAAGTTGTGGACCAGAATATTTAGTCTCCTCCCCCTTCCACTCCCATTCTTTTCTTGTTTAGTGACTTTTTCTATTCTGTTGATCATTTGGGTAGAGGTGGTATGGAAGTCAATGTATACAGCCTGCCAAGGAGGAATGAGTTTGGGTTGTGTCAGACTTGCATTTGAACCCATCACTACTTGCCTTTAGCGTCTGTGAACATCACTCAGGAACCAATGTAACTACCCTATATATCTTTGATGAAGATTGCATTTTATATACACACACACATAGCAAGTGCATAGAACATAGCAAGCATGCAATACGTTGTATTATTATTACAAATAATTTCTCTAATTTTACCTTTTTTGTGCTTAGAAATTGAAGCTTCAATTTTTTGAAATGTATTTATCTACTTTAAATTCTTGGTTCCTTTTCTTTCTCTTTCAGGCACGTTGCAGAGTGATTGTTTTGCCATTCATGCACACATATGTGGTAGACAGATGACTGTTGTCTGCCTTGTGCTACTCTAGGTGCCCCATCTTGCAGTGCGTACTGGAAAAGAGATGGACTCCAAAGCTGAAAACACACATGTGTGGCCCACATCTGCAGAACATGAACAGAACACTGCACAGGTGAAGAGTGGTCCATTAAAGCTTTATGTTGATAGCTGTTCTTTAGTTGGATACAGTTAGCTGGCAGCTAAAGAAGTAACAGCTACTCTATAGTAATGAATATTTAGGAGGGGGCTGAGTTGAAGAACTTGGGCATAAGGAATAGGCAGTGTTTCAATACTTTGAATGCTCCATCAAGATAGTTCACTATGATTTAGAAGAAGCGCTAAACTACCACTTACAGGCTTCTCTGCCTTTTCTGTAACTTACTGCTGTCAGCTGTTTGGCTGTCCTGTTTTTTGTTGCTGGTGCTGCAAACCACAAACTATAGTTTGTTTCTTTTATGTTATCTGGTATAGAAATTTGATTCTTCTTGTGTCATGAAGTACAGGGTATGTCTATAAAGTTTTTTCTTTTGTTTCCTTTTAAATCCTAAATGTTAACTTCTTCTTTCTTTTTTTTTTTTTCACCCTGAATGTTAACTTCTAAATGAAAGTTATCCCATTTTTAGTCAACAGCTTTGGAGAGGCATCACCCCTCCAAACAGTGCTGTCATTGATGATCTCTGTCTTTCAAATTTCCATCAGAACCATCTCCATGTGCTTTTGACTGTTCGCAAAGGCTAATCTCTACATTTTGGGTATGGACTTGAACTTTAGGAAAAGCAAGCAGTCATTTGGAGCCATATTTAATATGTGACCAAAGCATAAAGCTTAATTTTTAAGCAAAAATGGAATTATAATGAAGTAGTAAAGTTGATCATCTGGTATGATTTAAAAGTCTGAGTCTGAATACTTAAGAAAGAAAAATTCGAGAGATGTTTTCAGCAGAAGTTGAGATGCTGCTTTGTGTCCTAGGGAAACCATTTTGAAGGCTACTTTCATGTAGCTCAATTTTAATGTATTTTTTTTTTGTGAACCAGAATGTAGTCCATAAAAGCACAAAACAAAAGGAAACCTGGTTGTGACACTGTACTTGACCAGGGTCCCTCTTTGTGGATAACCAGATAGCAAAGTTCAGGGCTCCTCCTTGGATCTCCTCTTCTCAGATCTTCCTTTTCCAGAAGCTAATAATTCTGATTCAGTAGAGTACTGAGTGATGAAGAGCCAAGTTGAAAAATTTGGGTATCTGTTCTTCTGAGGAAATGTCTTTTCTTTTTTAAGCGTTAAAATTAGTCCATGGTTTTTATGCTAATGAATAATCTAAAGTCACAAAATTTATCTTATAGCAGTGAAAACTGAACAAATATGTTATAAGCATAGTTATTCCACTGTGCAAACTATTTCGTCATTGGCAAAATGAATCTGTGTAGAAGTTACTGTAGAGGCAGAAATTTGTTGCATTTCTGTTGTGCTCAATTGCATGTGGTCCTCAGGTTTCTTTCTGGGGGTTAAATAAGTTTGTATCATTTTTGGGATCTCATTTCCACTGTAGAAAACTGAAGTAATAAAAAATTAGGTTCAAAGCCAAACCAGTATAAGAGTGCCTGACTTCAATATCAACACATAAATTATTTCTCTTACAAATATGTACTTTGGCCATCTGTTCTCATACCTTAAATACAAGGTATCAGGCAGCATGCCAAGCTGTAGCCTTTAAGAATTCAAACCTCCAAAGCTGACTACTCAGAAAGGATTCTGCTACACTCTTATTTCTGCTTCAGTTCTTTAGTTCTTGGGAGACGGGGAATTATTTACCCTGGTGACAACTGAACCAGTTTTCCAAAAACCCTTAAAATTACTTTATTAGAATTTTATTTTTACTTAGCTGAAAAGAAAGAGTTCATTTATAGTCATTGATTCAGGAAACATTTAGTGATATGCCTCCAGTATGTCCTTTGAGTATCAAAGAACTTATAGGAAAGAAAGTGACTTTATTTTAATGTGTTTACTGAAAGGCATTAATATAAAGTAGAATTTTTATGATGTGTTGAGAGCAATTGGCTTTTGAGTTTAGGCATATTTTTTTCATGTCACAGAATAATTTGTATTATTTACAATTTTGTATTTTGGTAGTGTTGTCAACCAGGAATCTTTAGTTGCTTCTCCAGGATCAATTAACCACATCCTCATACCTACCTAATAATGATTCTGTATTGGACATTTGAGGCAAAGGGGGATTTAAGTCAGTTGCCTAACATTAAGTACATCAGGAACGAGGAACAAGGTCTTTGGATCCTGTCTCCTAGTTATTAACTCAGTGTAGATGGAGATATTTTAGTCCCCATTTTCCCTTCATTGGGGAATATTTTAGAAAGACAAGTGTGGACTGTGCCTGGTCAGCCACAAAACTTGGTGAGATTGATACTGTTCTACAAGAAAAGATGCTACATACCTGTCTGCCTTTTGTCCCAGGTACACTTTGTTCCGGACACTGGAACTGTGGCTCAGATTGTCTACACCGATGACCAGGGTCGTCCACCCCAGCAGGTGGTGTACACAGCAGATGGTACCTCCTACACTTCTGTCGATGGTCCGGAGCACACACTGGTTTACATCCACCCTGTGGAAGCTGCACAGGCATGTGCAGTATATTTGTTTACAATTTTCTTCTTAATTAATGAATTCACTAATCACTTGTGTTTCCTCTTTGCCAGTCTGTGCTAGGTGCTGGTGATACAGAAAATACTGGATAAGATTTGTACTCTCAAGGAGCTTATTAGCTGACTTGACAGAGAATGATAGGGGTTATTTATTTAAATTAAATGCAAAGAGTTAGAGTACTAGCCTTGTATCAACTCTTCTTTCCAGTAAGCACTGAGGACATTATGAACTTTCACTTTTCTTAAGTATTAAGAACCAAGCCAAAAATGGCATTTAGTTCTCTATAGGTAAATACAGGTCAGAGAAAGCATACAGATTATTTCAGTTAAGTGTGTAAGCATAGGCACCTTTTAGCTTGTTAACTGCTATTTGTTAATAACTTATTTACTGATTTGTAGGACTGTAATAGAAGCAAAGGTTATTTTCTGGTAAAAGCTGTACAATTATGAAAAAACAAAAAAACCAAACCTGCTACCATTGAGTCAATTCTGACTCTTGGTGACCCTAGATAGAGTAGAATTGTGAAATAGAAGCAGACTACCTCATTTTATTTCCATGGAGAGGCTGGTGGGTTTGAACCGCTGACCTTTTGGTTAGCAGGCAAATGCTTTAACCACCACATTATCAGACCTCCTTGCACAATTATAGCTACTTTTATATTTTTTTGCCAGTGACTTCTAGCATCTGTTTTCAAATGCGTAACACATTTTCCCATATATAAATGCTAGTTTCTCTTGTTAGCACTTGCCAATGTACCAAGTACTTTTAAACATTTTTTTTTTTTAATTAAAGTTCCATACTTTTATAATAGGATCTTGGTAATAGCAATTTGCCCTCATGCAGCATTTAATCAAGAAGCTCAAATCACTCCTAAGAAGAAGTGAGGCCCTCCTATTAATATCTTTAAAATCTATATAAAGATGAAATAGCCAAGTAGGAATCTGATACTTTTGGAATGCCTCTGCTTATTTTTAGACCCCTACCTTATTAAAGGCCAGCTCTGGTGGCGTACTGCCTAAGGCATTTGACTGCCAACCAGAAGACTGGTCGTTCAAACCCACCAGCCACTCCTCAGAAGGAAGGTTGGACATTCTACTTCAGTAGTGATGTTGTTGTTGTTATATGCCGTCGAGTCAGACCCAACTCATAGCGACCCCTCCTTGGGTTTCTGAGGCAGTAGCACTACGGAAGTAGATTTCTCCATCTTCCTTCCGAGGAGGGGCTGGTGGGTTTGAACCGCCAGCCTTTTGGTTAGCAGTCAAGTGCCTTAGGCACTATGCTACCTGAGCGGTCTCTATGAGTCAGATCTGACTCCACTGCAGTGCACTGTTGTTTGTTTGTTTTTACCACATTAAAGTAAAATAAGATAGTTTGTGTAAAGAATATCCTATGCTCAAGTTTTAGTTTATTACTGTGTTACTAAGTGTCTGGATTAGGATAATTTTTTTGTATGTGTCAAATCGCAGAAGTGTGACACTGAAATTCTTTTCTGTGTTCCTCTGGAATCACAACTGAACCATAGTTCTTATTCCCATAGATTAGATAAAAGGTTGGGTGAATTCAAGCTTTAGAAGAAAGAATACTTTTCTGGATTGGAGATATTAGTGGTGCTTTGGTTAAAATAATTTTGAAGATTTTCCTTCTCTGCTTAGCTTTGCTGCCCTGTGACCTACACTACCATCTGTTTATAATGATTAATTTTAATAACAATTTTATTATGCCCTTACTGGCTTTACCCAAGAAAAGTACCTGTTGTTGTTGTTATGTGCCGTCGAGTCAGACTTGACTCATAGAGACCCCTCCTTGGGTTTCCAAGGCAGTATCACTATGGAAATAGATTGCCCCATCTTCCTTCTGAGGAGTGGCTGGTGGGTTTGAACCGCCAGCCTTCTGGTTAGCAGAGGATTATTACTAGCTATAATGAGATTTAATTCTTCCAAGAATTGGTGCTTAGCAGTAGTATAATTTTCCTTGTGTAGACAAGCTGTCTAGAGATCTATTGATAAGTTTTTTTTTTTTTTTGTCTAGACTCTGTTTACAGACCCAGGCCAGGTCACTTATGTCCAACAGGATACCACAGCTCAGCAGGTAAGGACTTGCCTTTGTTGTTGTTTGGAGATAATAGTGTCAAAGTTACAGCCCTCTGAAATGCCTCCTAACTTAATCCTCTATACTATGCATTTTCAAAATGTTTGCTTCTTAAGTATTAAGAACATTCTCCAGCTTCTTTAATGGAAACAAAACTGCCAAGGGGGCAAGGAGGCTGCATTTTCTGACCTCCTTTAACCCCACAAGAGGAAGACAGAATCACCATCATTAGCCCAAGGCCTATTCCTACAAGGCCAGACATGCTGCCTCCCTCCAGCTCTTTCACCAACCCTGACACCAATTGATCCTCCCGCAGCCCACCACTCTCTGGGTTTGATAATTCGCTGCAGTGGCCACACAGACTCACAGATGATGGGTTTTTTTAGGGAAGCTACAGGCTACAGTTCAGATTCAGGAATACGTTTAGCTTAGATTCCTTCTGCCTCTAGGAGGGCTCCTTTAGAGCCTGGCAGAGTGGCTAAACTAAACAATCCCCAAGTCACAATTCTAATCACCTGAGAGAGAGAAAACTTCCCAGAGAATTATTTCGTGCTGCTCCCAACAGAAATACCCCAGGTGGGTAACTTTAACAAGCAGGAGCTACTCAATTGCTCACAGAAAATCCCAACACAAAGTTTACAAAGACTTTTGGCTATTGCAAAGCCATACTATGTAATTTACTACACTACAAAAACATAACATTAACATACTCCAATCAGTGTACATTGCAGTAGGCTGGTAATAAAAAATGCTTTGTCAGGGCAATTTAAAAAATAAGCATAATAAAAAGGGTACTAGCTCAAGCCCCAAAGAATAATCTTGAGTTTTGAAAGAGTGTATATATATTTAATTTGGAAACATTTTAGTACTTGATTTAAAAATGATTTCTGTTTAATTTTAACATATACGTTTGTTGACCAATCTTTCTCATTCTGGTTTCTTAAAAATTGGGATTATTCTTGGGTTTCTTTTAAAACATTTCTTCCCCTTTACCCATATTTCCAGTAGATTCTTTTTAATTTTGAGGGACTTCTTCCTTACTTCCCCCCAGAGTGAGAAGGGATAAAGAAGGCATAGAAACTAGGTACTGTCAATATTACTCTAAATTGAATATGTATTCAAATATATTTATTTTCATGTCAGCTGCTTTAACTTAATTCAGCTGTATCTTTGACTGTCATGAATTACTAGTAATTAAATTCTCATTAGTAAGCACTTTGGATTTTTAGTGTAAGAGAGAGAACTAATGAACCCTCATAAAGGAGCCATGGTGGTATAGTGGTTAAGTGTTTAGCTGCTAACTGAACGGTCAGCAGTTAGAACCCCGACCAGCTGCTCGGTGAAAGAAATATGTGGCAGTCCTCTTCCATAAAGTTTACAGCCTTGCAAACCCTGTTGGGTAATTCTACTCTGTACTATAGAATCACTATAAGTTGAAATCAGGTCGATGACAGTGGGTTATTATGGGAGTGTATGATTCAGATGTTTCCATTTTCAAATTTGAAAAATACGAAGTAGTTGTGTTGATATTATCTATGAAATCATGAGAAAATTCTTAGGAGTCTTTATTATATAAGTTATGACTGAATTTATTCATTTTTGGTAGTGAACTATAATTTTGTGAGGTCTGTGAATTTGAATAAAATTATTTTATTTTAATATTTTTATAATAATTGGATATATTCTTGACTCCAAACAATTTCTGTAAATATTTATTGATTCCATCAGGCAAGCATTTGATGAGTCTAGTTAGTGTTTCCTATTTAGAGGGTAAAAATAAAATGAAATAAATGCCTTTGAATGTCCTCTATAGATGATTAATATATTAATTCATTTTTAGAGTATTGATTTTTTTGTTCATAAAAAGCTGAAACAATGCAAATAAAAAAGTTTTGTTTTCTTTTAAAAAAGCAAATCAACAATACCTCAAACTCTATCCAGGAACATTAACTTAATATTTGATAACTATTATTTCAGACATGCATACATAGAGAAAGATAAACAAGCAGGGGGAATAATAATGTCTTGCTGTAAATGCTATTATTAATTTAAATATTTTTAACTTAAATTACATTTAGCAGACGAAAAATAAATTGAATTGACACTGAAAGTGGTTGGAGTCATTGTTTTTCCTAACCTATACTTCAGCTTCACCCCATTCTATCCATCAGCTCCCTGGAAATCAGCACACTGTATACTTCCTTCTGCTTTCCTCAGCATTGTTTTGTGTCAGTTATATTATTATTTAAGCTATCATATTTATACCCTGTTCAGTAACAGCAGTTATTTAGAATTTTGCTCCATTCTCTACTACCATTTAATTTGCTTTGGCAAAATATTAAGTGTAATTTTTGTATTTTTGTCATATCTTTTCTGTCTTAATGGCTGGGTCATTCTTTCTTTATCTTTGAAGTTTTTCTTTGAAGTATAATGACTTCACTAATATATAAATTAGAATTTCCTAGGACAGGGTAGGTCTTTTTGATGTATAGGTTAAAACTTTACTTCAGGAAAATTTTAACTTATTTGGTCTTTGAAAATTCTTTTGTTCTGTTTGATATGTTCACTTTTTCAGTAACATCAGTGGTGCCTATGTTGGCTCTTATTTGCGTTCTATATCTAACATTTTCTTTACAATCATATATACATATTATTTTCCACTTCATCTGTGTATTTTCTTTTAGCCTGTCTAGGAGGCCACCTCAGGTTTTTTTTTTAAACTACTTAATTAATGTGTGTGTGTGTATATATATATATATATATATATATATATATATATATATCTGCACAAATCATGAACATATAGTTCAGTGATATGATATGAAGTGAACATACCCTGTGACACTCAGATTAAGCAACAGAAATTACTAGCTCTTAAAAGCTACGCTTATGTTTGCTCCCAATTACATACCCTAATCTTCTTAAAGGTAAGTACTCTTCTGCCTGCTAACATCATAGATTAATTTTTCATTTTTTGCACTTTACATAAGTGGTATTATATAGTATGGTTTCCTTTTTGTGTGGCTTCTTTCACTGAACACTATTCTTGGGAGAGTCATTCATGTTGTTGTGTGTAGCTGTAGGTTTTTTTCTTTTATTTTTAATATATTTACATGTTACACTATTAGGTTGTTTCCAATTTAGCCTAATAAGAATAATAGTGCTATGGATATTTTTTATAGTGTACATGTTCATGTATTTCTTTTTTTCATGGTGTCCCTGGTTTCTTTGTTCCATATTATTTTCTGTGCTGAGCTCATTATGTTTATGAATTGTGTTATCATTTCCTTTGTTGCTGTTGTTTTAGTATATGCTGAATATTTGTGCTTGTCCTCTTTTTTATTGTGATGTGAAGGTTTATCATTTTTC